AAAAAAAAATAGAATTTCTCGTTTTTTTATTTCAAACATCATTTTCATTCTTCAGCTTTTTTTTTTCCGCCTCTCCTCATTTGCTTCTCTGCTGTTTTTTTTTCCACTTCTGTTTTCTGCTTTTTTTTCTCAACCTCAGCAAAAAAAAAGGAAAAAAAGAAATTTGGCATCAAAAGCAGCTGCAAAAATTATTTTCCATGCAGCTGTTAGACAAAAAAAAAACTTTTCTTCCTTTTTTTTTTTTTTTTTCACTCTGCAAAATTAAAACCAATTTATTAACAATAGCAACAATAATGATAACAACACTAACACTAACACTGACACTAATAATAACGATTCAGATATAAATAGCTATAATTTATTTTTGAAAAAAAAAAAAAACGTAGAAAACGTAGAAAACGGGAAAGCAACAAGGGGAAAAAAAAACAATACAAATAAACATGTGATTTTTTTCTTCAGTTTTTTTGTTGGTATACTGTTATTTGTCTTCGTCAATCTAACATACGGTTTTGTTAACATAACATCGATCAGTGAAAGAAATAGTTTTGGTGAAGAAAAAACAAAACTTTTTTTTTCCCCTTCTAATCACAATCATTTTCTATTGTATTAATCTTCTTCAACAATAAAATTTTTCCACTTTTTCTCCTATATCTTTCCATCTTTCTCCTCTATTTTTTTTTTTTTTTGCTGCAGCAATAACAAAAATAGCAGCAAAATCAGTAGCCAGTTTTATTCCACTCCTTCAAATTTTGAACCTCATCAATTTAAGCTCCAAAGTTTCTGATACCAAAAAGTTCAACAGTGCCAACTTATGCGATAATAACAATGGCACTTCACTAATTCTAAGACTGCAATAAGAAAAACAGACAGTGAAGCAAAGAGAAGAGATAAATGTTGCAAAGAATATGTAAAATTAAAATTATGCTCTTTTTAAAAATACTTGATCCCAATGATCCCATCAAGATAAAAAAAAAAAATAACTTCAAAAACAACTGTAAACAATTGGCAATCAATTCACAATAAGAATATCATTTAAAGTAGCATAAAAAATCATAGTTTACAACCAAAAAATTTTTTCAAATTATTAACAATGCCGATTTTTAAACAATTAATTATTGTCATTAATTATCAGTTTCTTTTTTTTCTTTTTTCTTTGAACCACCAATTAATCATACAGTTTCTTCCATTTCCCATCATTATTTACCAGAAAACAGTTTATCAACTATACAAAACTTAAAGAAGATGCACAAAAAGCAGAGAAAAAAGAAGAAGGAAAAACAGTAGGAACAAATTGTTATTAATGTACAACCAGAACTACTAAAAACTTTCCACCATCAAGACCAGTAAAATAGCATTCACACACTGACTGCACACTTACCGTAGTTTCTCCTATTTTTCTTCGTAAACAAAGCA